TGGGGGTGCCAGTGGGGTGTCTCAGTGTATGTATGGGGGTGCCAGTGGGGTGTCTCAGTGTGGGTATGGGGGTGACAGTGGGGTGTCTCAGTGTGGGTATGCGGGTGACAGCAGGGTGTTTCAGTGTCAGTGTGGGGGTGACGGAGGGGTGTCTCAGTGTGGGTATGGGGGTGACGGTGGGGTGTATCTGTGTGGGTATGGGGGTGACGGTGGGGTGTATCTGTGTGGGTATGGGGGTGACTCCGAATTGAATTGCTGTGTTTTCCCTGTGACTGCAGGACCTCAGACTTCCACACCTTTCTAAAGCTGGCCCTGACCAAGAACCCGCGCAAGAGACCAACAGCGGAAAAACTCCTGCAGGTGCGCGCCGTCCCGGAGCCCGACACACCCGCGCCGGGCCAACAGCACCCCCATCTCCCCCGGGGTAACAGCCTCTCCCCCTCTCTGTGCCTCCAGCACCCCTTCATGACTCAGCTGCTGACCCGGACCCAGGTCATCGAGCTGCTGGACACGGCCAGTAACCCTGACCTCAGCGCAGGGCTCCACATGGACGACAGTGACCTGGACGTGAGTGAGCCTTTCTCTCTGGCCACCAGCAGGGCTGCTACCATTTCTGTCTACATTCGGGGGAGGGTGTACTTACTCTCTGGGGGGGTGCAGGAGGCAGGTAATGAAATCCGACTGTGTTGCAAACGCTCAATGCTGTTTGCGTTTACAGACGTGCGACGCCTTCCCAGATAAGATCATGTCTCTTGGGAAGCACATGAGTGTGGCGAGGACTCCGTCCGAAGATCAGTGTGAGTGCCGGAGTTCTGTCATAGCCACGCCCCCTCGCCTCTCGGGGGAAGCCACGCCCCCTCCCCTGTCGGCGAAGCCACGCCCCTCCCCTGTCGGCAAAGCCACGCCCCTCCCCTGTCGGTGAAGCCACGCCCCTCCCCTGTCGGTGAAGCCACACCCCTCCCCTGTCAGTGAAGCCACATGCTTTTACACGGACACACTGACACAAAGACATTAATGCACACAACCACACCAACACTGACTAGTGGAGTTGGCTTAATGGGAGGACTGGTTCTGACCCCAGTGGAGTTGGGTTCATGGGGGGGACTGGTTCTGACCCCAGTGGAGTCTCACCCTGTCTTCTTTCTCCACAGTCAACCAGGTGAAGTTCTGCCCCCCCCTGAGGAAGGAGACGGATCCCTACCCTGACCTGGTGAGGGGGGGGTGCAGGGGCGCTCTTGGTGCTGCCCCCTCTCTGGGAGGTGTGGGGGTGCAGACCGCAGCGAGACTGAGCCTGGGGGGGAGATGGGGTGTGGGGAGATGGGGTGTGGGCGGGGTCAGAGACAGGGGGGAGACGTGTGTAACTGTGTCCTCTTGCCTGTGTGATTCTGCAGGGCTCCTGCGACGACTGGGGTATCATGGGAGTCGAGCACAGCACTCCGTAAGACTCCTGTGGCTTGCTGGCCTGGTGGCTGACCTCCGCTGAGTTTCCCACTGTCTTTCCAGCCCAGTAACTGCTGCTGCTGCTGTTATAGAGCTGAACGATCTTCAGAGAGAGGCCAAGGCTGGTAACCTGGAACAGGGGATTGTGTCTGCTGCAGCCTCTGTTCTGTACCTCTCTTTTCCTCCTCCTGTCTCCTCCCTCCCTCTCTCTCTCTCCCTCCCTGCATCTCTCTCTCTCCCTGTCTCGAGTGCAAAGAGTGTGAATGGTCAGGGCATCCCAGCACACACCTCCCCTCTCTCTGTCTCTCTCCCAGGAGCCTGCTGGAGTGCGTGGAGGAGGCGCTGATGGAGAGGTGAGACCCGGTTCTGACCCGCTGGCCCCGAGCGGCACTTGATACAGCAGAGTCACACGCAATGGGGAAGTGCTCTGACTCTCTCTCCCCTCCCCTCCCTCCCCTCTTTTCTGTGCGGCAGGAGCCTGACTATCAAGAGAGCGCCATCTGCTGGGGTAAGGTGGAATCGCCTGATCCAGGCTTCAGCCCCACCTCTTCAAACACGGGTTCCTGCTGCAGCTGAGCAGCTCACTTGCTAATTAATCGGGCCGACGCCTTTTTCCACAACTTAGATCAGCGCCCGTCTCTACAGCCGGGCATTTTCAGGGTGAAGTGTTTTGCTCGGGGGCGAAACGCCAGTGAATTGCCTGGGCTTTGAACCTGCAACCTCCCAGAGATGAGTGCAGGAGCCCCGAACCCTGGTGAACGCACCGTGAGCAGGGGGGGTGTACAGCAGGGCTCCCCAGCCCCAGTCACGTGCATTACCCCAGGTTGTGTCATCATTCCCGGTGCTGTTCGCCATCGAGGTGCCTTCTGGGATTGCCGTAACAGTGCTAGAGGCTGCTCCTCCACTGGGTGGCGCTGCTGTGCTTGGCTCTTGGCCTGGTAGGCCTCAGGTACGTACAGTATCTCCAAGCAGAAGGCTGAAGGCCTCTCCCCTTGTCTGTCACCCGGGCCGGCAGCAGACGTCCGACGAGGAGACGGAGAAATTCGGCACGGTGAAGAGGGCAGGAGGGGTCAGCCCCTCGTCCACCAGCGCCGCCGCCTCCCAGCCCGCTCCGGGCTCCAGCGCTGACAACGGGGCAGGTGAGGGGGGTTTCTAGCCCGCCATGTGATGCGGTTATTCGGTCACGAGAGAGACTTAGGATTCACCCAGGCCGTCGTTTTGTTCACCAGAGTGTGCACACTACTCACCAGCCTGTTGGGAGAGAGCACCGTTTCCATAGGACTGACTCGCTCTGACTGCTGGTTTTCTTTTTTCTATCAAAATCGACTTTATTTCCCGAAAACAGCATCTCACAAAACTGGTAAACGTTCTAACCAGGTGGGAACTTTGCGTGCGGTAAAACTTTCCGAACGGGGGGGGTGGGGGTGGTGATTGTTAAGGTGAAGGGTATCGCACAGCACGTGGTGCGCGTCCTTGGATTCCTGAACCCTGGAAAGTAGTAGCACACCAGGCCCTTTTCCTCCGTGTGTGCTGCGCGGGGCCTAGGCTACGTGGGGGAGAAGGCGTGATCTTTGGCATGCCACGCGCGCCACCGCTGCGTCAACGAAGGCAGCAGCAGCCCTGGCTCATGAGTCAATTCAGACAGTCTCGGGGGTGACTTGAGAGACGCCCCCCCCCCCCCCCCGTCGACAGGGCCTCGTTCTGCCCTGCATGAGGGACGGCGTGGTAATAGATGCTAGGGGGAGATGCCCAACATTTTGCAGCCACTGTAGCTACCGAGTCCAAAGGGGAGTTGTTGGGCGTTAGGGGGACCTGGGGGGCCCCCCTCTCTCAGCCCCCAGGGGCGCCCCGTCTGACCGCGGTCTCCGCCCCTGTCCCGCAGGGGGCGCTGTCGGCGAGGCGAGGGGCGGCGGGGGCAGCCC